CTGAAATAGAGGGGAAAAGAAAAAAAAAAAAAAAAAAACAAGGAAAGAATAACTGCCTAAATAAAATAACCTCTCAAGTAATGTGACTGTAGTACCTATGTATCAACCACATATGGGGAAGCTATTCACACCTTTAGTGAATACTGATTTTTACAGTCTGAAGACATCACATATAAAATGTAATTAATAGCCGAAACCGGTTTGGCTCAGTGGATAGAGCGTCGGCCTGTGGACTGAGGGGTCTCAGGTTCGATTCCGTTCAAGGGCATGTACCTGGGTTGCGGGCGCATCTCCAGTGGGAGATGTGCAGGAGGCAGCTGGTCGATGTTTCTCATCGATGTTTCTGACTCTCTGTCTCTCTCCCTTCCTCTCTGTAAAAAATCAATAAAATATATTTTAAAAAAAAGACTATGAAAGGAACACTATTAATAATCCAGCTTTATAACTGACACCAAGACACAAAGAGGTTGAGTAACTTGCCAAGGTCACACAGCTAGTATGAGATAGAGGCAAGATTCAAACCCAGGCCACATAGTCCATGTCCAAAATACAAGACTACCCGAGTTTTCTGACAATGGTAGAGAGAAATAGAGGTAGGGGAAGAGGAGGGAGAGGCAGCAGAGGCCAGATCCAGAATGGGTAAACTCTTAAAAACTGGCCTCCTGGGTGCTCCGCCTCTAAGAGGCTCAGGCTGTGAGGGGGAGCACACCTTCACAGTGCCGGCCCCTCCCACACAGCTCACTCTTCTACCAGCCTCAGAGCCCTGCCTCCTTGGGCTGTAGCACAATCCAGGCAGATACCGTCACCACTGCCCTGACCTTCCTCTATCTGCCTCCTAGCCTGAAGTTCACTCTTTTCTCAAGCCCAGAGGTCAAAGGCACACACTCCTCAGCTGGACCAGGCTCATCCCAACCTGGCCTCCGTTTTCCTTCCTTCCTTCATCTTCCACAACTCCCCCAAATGCACCCTCAACTTCAGTCAAACCAGACCATTTCTCTCACATCCACACTTCTTCTTTTTGCTGTTCTCTCTACCTAAAACCCCCTTCCCCCAATTCAGTCTTTTTTTGTACTTGACACCCAATGTTTAATTTTATCGTTACTTGTGTGTTTTCACCTTCACCCCTTGTCAAGCAGGCCTTACTCCTCTTTCCTGGAGTCCTGCCCAATTCCTGGTTCCTCTCAAGTGCTCAGTAAATGCTCAGTGGTTAGAACCTGCAGTGGACATAATTGTAGGTGGAAGAGAGCCAGACCTCAGGAACCTTTGATCTCTGCTCAAGGTGACCCCCACTTCCTTTACTTCCTCTACCAGGAGCTAACTGGAAACCTGGCAGTGTGGGTTTCAGGCAGGTTCTGGGATAGCCCTTCCCTGGGCGGCTCTGACCAACATTCTCCCCTCAGGTTCAGAAGCCCAAAGAGGACCTCCCTCCGCTCCAACAAACCAAGGCCAGGCAGCCAGCGTAGCGCCCCAGCCCCGTCCCCATCCTGCACAGTCTCCCCAGGTGCGCGCGGAGAGTGATGTGGAGATAATTGGAGACCAAAACCATAAGTGGGTTGAGAGCAGGATTGGTGATCTGAACGCTGAGCCAGAGTTGGAGTTGGCGGGACTTGGGGGGGCGAGGGGGGGGCAGGCGCGGAGTGGAGGGCAGGGCCAGGCAGGACTCCGAGACTGAGTCTGGGCGAAGCCCCCGCGCCCGGCGAGTCGGCGGCTAAATTTACCCAGGCTGACTCAGCCCTTGCCCGGAATGGTTGAAATGTGTCATATGATTGCTGTGCATTGGATGAAAACCTTGTATGCATTTTGAAACTACTGGATCGTCGCGCCCGATAATTCCATCTTGTCAGGTTGTTCTATTTTAGGTTAGACACGATGATGTTAAGCGAGAAGGAGCGGAGAGCCCTGTGGGTGGAACGCAGTGGGGACAGGGTAGGTGAAAGGAAGAAGAGGCCAAGGTTGGACAAAGGGAAGCTTAGATTTATTGAGCGCCTACCGTGTGCCTGGCACTGTGCAAGGCGCTTTACATACATGATCGCATTAAATCCTCACAACAACCCTGCGAGGTAGGTGTTTATATGCCCCCATTTGACAGATGAGGAAAGTGCGGCTCAGGGAGGTGAAGTGATTTGACCAAGGTCACATGGCTAGTGAATAGAGAGGAGGTGTCCAAGGTATGAGAGCAAACAAGACCTCAGAGTCTGGGCCCCAGGCCAGATAAATACAAAGAGGGGCTCATTCAGAGGCCTGCTCCCGACCTCGCACACCTGGAGGCGGCAAGGCTGGGGACGGGACCCCGCGCTTTAACTGGGGATCAATTGATTAACTGGCCTGTGGGAGTAGGAAGGACTCGCGGACTAGCTACGGGGGAAATCCGCGGCCTGCGCGCGCCCCATAGTGGCTACAGCGAGGATCACACCTATACCCACAGGCTTTTGGGACCGCCTCCCTCTTTCTTCTGTAGCAGTTTCTGGAAGAGGCAGAGATGCAAGAAATTCTCAGGATTCTTTCAGATGAATGATGCCACCTGGGTGGAAAGTCATGGCAACGATTCAGAGCATCACTAAAAAACACTGGGGAGGAGGAAAGAGGAAGGTCTGAAGAGGTCCCAAGCCGATTCACTGTCTGCCTTCCCTCTCCTGCTTGGACCCACCACAGGCCAGGGACAGTGACAAGGCCACCCTCCTGCCCTGCCTTGGGTAACCCTCACCTAAACCTGAAAGACTGGGATAGGAGCCCCTGCCCACTTACTCAGCTCTTCTGCAAACCCTGGACAGTCTCTAGAATTGAGAATGAGTGCTGGTGACCCTGAAGCCACCCAGAAACCCGCAGACTGTTCATCTATTCCTTACTCTTTCTTGGCTTGTGAAGGGAAGGATGAGCTAAAAGCTTCCCCAAAGGCTCCAAAACGACATGGACGGGCCTTAGAATCCCTTTGTTTTACATATCAGGAGGCCTGGAGAAGGAAAGCAGCTTGCCTAAGTGCCCCAGGAAGTGAGTGTCAGAGTTAGGACGGAAACCCAAGACTTGTGACATCACAGTGAGCCCTCTCCCTGCTTTGCTGGCTGCTTCTGGACTCCCTCCTCTTCCGCCAAGGGCTTCTCTGTCACCTGTTCACTTCAGTCCAAAGCCGCTCCATCACGTTCTCCCTCCTGCCCATAGGCCTTTCCCTGAAGTTGCCCTCCCATGACTATACCATTCCTACCCTCCTGCCTACTCTTGGGCAGTCTTCTCTGCTCAACTCTGCACCCAGAGCAGCAGCTACCTCTGCTGAAGCCCTTGCCAGTGACCTAAAAGGAGCAGGCATTAAAGTCTACTGTTCACCTGACCCCTCCTGGTTTGGTTTTGTTTTTTAAATACAGCCCTAGCCAGTTTGGCTCAGTGGATAGAGTGTCGGCCTGAGGAAGGAAGGTCCCGGGTTTGAGTCTGGTCAAGGGCACGTACCTCGGTTGCAAGCTCCTCTCTGGCCCAGGCCCTGGTCCAGCCACATGCAGGAGGCAACCAATCAATGTGTTTCTCTCACAGATATTTCTCTCTGTCTTTCCCTCTCTCTTCCACTCTTTCTAAAAATCAATGAGAAAATATCCTAGGGCGGGGATTTTTTAAAAATTACAAATCAGCATATGTTCCCTTTCCTTTCATTTGGGCGGCTTCTTTTTGGGTATGGGAACCGGTATAGGTAAGGGGTACAAGGAAGTCTGTGAGGAACTAGGGGGCCAGTGGGCCCAAGGATGGATGGGTTGGGAAGCACAAATACAACAAAGAGCCTCTCACTGCCGCTCCCTGTTTCTCCGTGGGGCCCCCGTCGTGTTCCTCTCTCCAGAAAGGGCCTCCCCGGTTTGGCTGATGACATCCAGAATCTCTCGGATGCTGTCGTGCCGCTGTGTGGTCTTCCCGCCCTCCCGGCACCCGGCTCGCTCACTCCGCCAGGGGGCGCCGGAGGCTTCCGTGTCGCTTCCATCAGAGGAGCTGCTATGGGCGCTGAGCTCCGCAGCTTCATCCGAGTCCGAGTCAGGGGCGGTGTGGCGGCGGATGCGGGACACGGCTTCTCGCAGGGCCCCCGCGTAGGGCCCCGGGGTCCGCGCCCAGCCCCGCCCCGCGTGCCGGGGGACCCCCGCCACTCCCCCCGAGCCCTCGGCGCTATTCGCGCCTCCTGACGCCGCTGGGCCTGAGGCTGAGCGCCCCAGGCTACCTGGCTGCGTGGGGGCGTCTTGCAGGTTGACTTCGTCCATCGGGAGCCCCAAGATGCGGGAGGCGCGCTCCTCCAAAGAGGGATCCGCGGGCTTCCCGCCCTCAGCTTCGAACCCGCGCCCCCGGTGTGGCTGTTGTGAAAGGCGGCTGCTGGACAGCAGCTTTTGGCAAGGGGAAGGCAAGGCCGCGGCCGCCTCCCCCTCCTCCTTGCTGGGCTTCGGTGAGCTGGGGGCATCGCCCACAGTGCGGGGCACCCCAGCCGGCAAAAGCTGCACGCGCTGGGTTCGAGGGGTCGGGACATACTGGGACCTTATCACCACGCACGTGGCGTCAATGACAAAAATACCTTCTCCACGAGCAGGGCCGCTGGAGCTGCGGGGCAGGGTGTGGGCGCGGCGGGGGGCCTGCCAACCCTCCGAGGGGCCGGCCCTCTCTCTACGACCCAGGGGCTCTCTCGACCCCGTGCCTCCTGGAGCCCAGGGTCTGGGGAGGGTCTGGCTATGCGGAGGCGGGTGCTTTTTAAGGGAGGGAATCCAGGACTTGGGGAGCCAGCTCTGTTCTCTACCTTCTTTCCCTTCCCCGGGGCCCTGGAGATGGGGCCTGGACCTGGGGGCGGGACGCGGGGGGCTGGGAGTCTCCGTGGCAGACCCCGCAGGAGCCGCCGCCCCGCCCGGGTCCCCCGCAGTCTTGGCCGGCCCCCGGCTTTTCTCTGCGGCCCCCTGGCGGGGCTCCAGCCTCGGCCTGGCCGTTCCACAGCCTGGGGATCCCCCCAAGAGGCCCCGCTCCTGCCGAAGACCCCAAGCCCCGAGGACGTCCCGGTAAATCCGAGGATCCAGCCTTTTCTTTGTGCCCCCTCCCTCTGTCCTGGCCGGAGTCTGAGCAGGGGCTGCTGAGACGGGCGCCTGGGAGGGCTCGGGGCCTCGTTTCGCCCCCAGAGTCCTGTGGGGTCCTTCGTAAGACGGTGGAGCCACATAAGGCGGCGGGCGGTCCCAGCGGCGTCGCGGGGCCGTCCCCGCGGCGGCTCTCAGCAGCAGGTGAGCCTCGTAGCTGGGGGGCCCGGGCCTCCGACCTCCCCAGGGCCCCGCCCACGCCGCCCTGGGGTCGCTCTGCGGCTGCGCGGATGGACGGGGCGGGGGCCCCACCGGCCCCAGGCGCTCTGGCCGTGAAGGAGCTGGGAGCCTGGCCGGCTGTGCCACCCGAGGGGCGTTCCGAGGCTCCGGGCGCGGCCGACCCGGGGGGCTCCTTCGGGCCCCACCCGCCTTGCGCCTTTTTCGCTCGGTCTC